GTGTTTTGAGGTTGCTGTCGGCCATAGGAGCAGTGGAGTATTAGCATTTCATAGGGTCTCTCAAAGCAAATTCTTCATGTCCGCAGTTTGATTAAGAGAAACTCAGGACGCCTAATGAACTGAATGAGATAACTGTGTTGTCTGTACCTTCACATCAGTCAGCAGTTCAGAGTTTAGAGCCCTCTTACACTGAAAAAAGTACAACATTGGTTAAACTTATTAAAGTCGATCACAAAATATTTGACATTGAAATTATTTATTTAGTTTAACCTGCATTTTTTAACTATGCAAACTATTTTCTGTAGGTTGAGCAAACTACTTATTTTAAGTTTCATAAAAGTAGTTGTCTTTATTGACTTAATGTAAATAAGCCATTCAGTTCAACCTGAATTGTTTAACTCCATTTAAACAGTTTTTTGAGGTTTGGAATAAATAATTTGCTATAAATATGTTTTGATCAATGACTAAGGGGTGCTGTTTGGAGATTTTATATTTTATTGTTCAATATTTCAATATTTTTGCTGTTTGGAAGAGTCTCAAATGGAAGATATTTTAACTCAAACACATTACATTATTGTAGCACATTTGTAAAGCATTGGGTAGAAATATGTAAAGGTGAAATTAGAAATCAATTAATAGTTTTATTTCCATCCTTTGGATTTTGACTGCATTTGACACCAAACTGATGTGGCAAGGCATTTTTTAGGGGTGACAGCTGCCACCCTATCCCACCCCTCATGATCCACCCCTGTGTGGAGCAACACAACATAATTACCTTTCACTGTGAAAAAGCTTGAGAACACTGGGAGCACAAGACTTTAAAGTTGAATCTGCACTGGGTGCCTCAGTTGTGTTAAATGTTTTGTAAATTGTCTTTTCTATGTGATAGTTTGTAAAAACAACTGTGTGGAGACAACCAGACATCAGTTAGTGTTTAGTGAAAGCATTTGCAAATAGATTTGCACATTTACATGCCAGCTGCCAATTCCTCAATTCATATTAGACCATGATTTATGAGGGTGCCAGTGTTTAGCAACCTTACTGCACCCTTTAATTGTAAGTGTTGTGTTGATCAAAAGAGGGCACCAGTGCAGTAACAGTCTTGACCACATGTCTAAACTTTTCTGAAACTGTCCTATTCCTGTCCAACTATTTCAAAATTGGGAAATTTGTGAAAGAGGAGAGGAAAATATGAGCAAACAAGCTAAAGAGAGCTGAAGTATTGATCAGTTTCCATGCACAGCTGCAGTACAGAAAACACACACACAGAGTGTAATACATTTGCAATCTTTTTTTATTGTTTTCTCTCAGTCTATAGACATATATACAGCACATGTCAGTCTACAATATATATATATTATGGCCTAAGAGAAAAAAAATATTGTTTACAAATGTCATTATCCGGTCAAGTAACATGAAAGCTGGTTAGACGTTACAGGTGGCGAGTCCGTAGCCCAGGCAAGCCCATTCATTGGTCATCTCCATGAAACCTGGTACTGAGGTGAGCCCACTCGCTAGAATCAAAACATGGATGGAAATTAGGTCACTCGACATTGATGGCACTGATTGTTAGATTTCATGCAAATAAAGCAGCAGCTCTGCAGCAAATAATGTGAACAGTGGTTAGTGATTCTAGCTCCTGAACTCACCTGACAGCAGGTTGTGAAGGTTGCAGTAGTTGAGGCCATTATCCAGAAGACTGCTGGACATGAGAGAAGTGGACTGTGCCTGGTAAATAAGAAAGTAAATTAACATATTTTATACTGTTTCTAACGACTTATTGGTATCTAACAAACATTTCACACAAAGACCTGTTTGTGTGCTGTGAGTCGTAGCTACAATTTTATTAACTCATCTCCTCAGTGTGTCAGTTGAATGTTTCATTAAAAATTAGCGGAATTGATACTTACAGACACACGGCAGCCACCGACCATCATGGTGGGACTCAGGGTGATGGTGATGTTCTCAACTTGGAGGCCATCAAGGGAAGTGTGGTTGGCTTTGATAGTTTTAGGGGTGGCTGATACGAGCTGGAACAGAACATATCATAACAGTAAATATATGTTGTTGCTTCTGTACATAAAAACAGGCAGATTGGTAAACAATATAACACAATATACGTATACTGAAATGGATCTTACCGTATACTGACATAAATCACAGCCATTCAGAGGGTTAAAGGCTTCAATTTGTTGAATTAATGTCATACTGATTTCAGCACAATCTGTTGCAAAGAGCCTAGAAAAAGAGAAGTAACACAGTTACATCCATTCTGAGTCGCATTAAAATATAGAAACACAGAATGACTGCCTCAGAGCCAGATAGGCGATCCTAACTCACCAAATTGATCTGCAGAAGGGACTGTAAGGAAGAGGGGCTGGGGCAGTGACGGGGACGGCAGTTAAAGTGGCAAACAGTCCTGCAAAGAGAGCAGAAGCCAGCAGCAGAGTCTTCATGGTCACAGTGAAGCAGGTTCTTCCTCCTGTAGAGCAGCGTGAGAGTGTGTTGGTGAGAGAGTTCTGGTTGCTGGTTGATTCCCTTGCAAGCTAATTTATACAAAATATCCTACCTGTCATGAGGGCCAGTAATGACGCTTGGTGCTAATTAATTATGGGTGTGACTCTTAAGGTCATGTGATCTTACTCAGTGGTCTTGTGGTGATCACTTTTAATTACACAAGAATGCCGATCTCATTTTGAATTTGGCAAATGATTGTACCAAAATTACACTTTAGCTCATTTAATAATATTTTTGTGGGAGGGAATTGACAAAAAATATTTTATAAAGAAGAAATATCTACAGATTTTCATAGTAATAATGAGAGACAACAATTGTTAAAAGCCAAATGTGCTGTCTTTTTTGACTTTTTTGGCTCTTTCTTTTATATTAAAGGGTCCATTTACCAATATTAGGGCCTTTCCCCATCAGAAATTCAGGACGTCAGGTTAGGGAAAGGAGGAGAAATCATCCAATTAAGGACTGGTTAACACAAATGATCTCAAAACCTTGGTAAATAAATCCACTATCTGATGGCTTAATACAGGTGGGGGTATCTTGAATTTTGTTTTTGTTTTTTCAAACCAAACCTTTAATAGATATTTCTGTCTGATTTAACTCACCAATATACATATCCAACTCAACAGAGAACTAATTAGTCAACTGACTTGTGAATGATAATCAGACCTCTACCATGATAATGAAGAATAAAATGATTTCATGCACATCATTTGTTATTCATGTGGTCACTGTGTGCTTGTTAGTAGGATATATCTACAGAATAAAGTTAGTGTGACTCCTGATCCTTCCAACTGTTGTGTTACCAACATTTCAAAAGAATAAAGATGATGCTATGATGTACAGATAATAAAAGTCTTGTCTTGTGATTTGTGAATGTAAGTGAAAAATCCAATAATTTTACACCTGACGCCATGATCACCTATGGTAACTGAAACCACACAGAAACGGGACTTATTTTGGGAATTCTATCATTGAAGCTCAAATTCTTCATTTAAAGAAAAACATCAGCTGACAGAATATATGAATATGACAAGACTTTGTGTTGTGTGTCGCTGTCAGCCCTGGGAGCTGTAGAATTGGGGGCATTAGCGTTTCACAGGGTCTCTCAAAGCAAAGTCAACACAGTCAGATTAAGAGCAATTTAGAAACCCTAACGAATTGACTGAGATAACTGGGAGCCCCTCTGGTCGTGTTGTCTGTACTTCACACCAGACAGCAGTTCAGAGTATACAGCCATCTTACACTGAAAAAAGTATAACATTGGTTAAACTTGAAAAAACTGATGTAAGCGATCACACAAAATATTTGACATGGACTCAGTATAAAATTATTTATTCAGTTTAACCTGTATATTTTTAACTATGCAAACTATTTTC